ATGTAAATGAGATTTTCGGTATTACAACGTTCAACTTTTTCATCGTGGCTGGAATCTGTGGTCGAAAAATAACAACACCTCCACACGACTGATCCTTTTATTTTTACTATTAAATAAACTATTGCATGTAAATGCGAATTCCACGCCACCAATCTTTCTTTCACTTCCCAGTACCAATACAGAAGCAGATATACTTCTCTGCAAACACTCCCATCCACAGACAAGCTATCCGCAAACAGGAACCCACACGAGTAAATAGTAGTGATTCGTACAATGTAAGGATGCCAGTGCTATTTGGGTTACTTTTCGGGCTTTGAAGCACAAATATTTATTGCCACTTTGGGATTAGTTTGATATTAAATTTTCGGCTTAGAAATTTGTATCCATTGATGATGTTAGGGAATTTAAATTTTTTTTCATTCCTTTTTTATTTTTAACTAAAGTAGCTATTATTTTAAGATATTTTCGGAATACGCCAAAAATAGTTAAAAAATTTATCTAATTTTGGTTGAAGAAAACTTTAAGTGGAAATTTTGTGCATTTTCGTCCCTGGAGTCTAATGAACAATGCGTTCGGACTTTAATCCTTCAGTGTTGCTGTGAAGTTCGTCTTTGCGAAGTGGTGACTGAAGTACAAATATTATTGGAGTTATGAATTTTAATATATTTTTGAGTTCAAAAATCTTTAATAGTTATAAGAATTTCATATTATTGTTAATGTATAAGTAATAAGTAATATAGTAATATCCATTTTGTGGTTCCAAAAGGAAATGTAAAGAAAACACACTTCCGATTGGGATTTTAAACAACTTTATGTGCCAATATTGATGGGATTTTTCCAGTACGCATAAAAAATTATATAAATGTCTTTTATCAGTTATTTTATAGTTTGTTGATCAATATTTTATTCCAACATTGTTTGCACCTTTCGGTGTGAAAAACGACATCATCGGTCATCTCACATTTTTTTGATCAAATTTTAATTCTAATATTCCTTGAACTTTTCCATTAGGTGTGAAATTAGACATCATATTAAACTTTTTTAACTGTCATCTCACGGTTTTTTATTAAATTTTTATTCCAATATTGTTTGGACCTTTCCATTAGGTGTGTAAAATGACATCACCATCTTGCAGTACTGGAGTATTTTCTACGATTTGTCGGCGAATCGCTGTGAATGGCTCGGTAACAATAATTTTTGGATCTTTATTTTCAAAATGTCGGAAATTTGAAGATTATTCCCATAAACACAAGCCTTTACGTAAGTACATAAAATAAAAATCCAGTGTTGACAATTCACATCACTAAGATGCAAAAGTACATGTCTATCAAATTTATAGGGCATTGAAATCAAATAAAAAAGTCTTGTTGCATTTGTGACGATTCTGTTGAAGCCACTTATCTTCCATTGGCATAACTTCAATTTCCACTAAAAAAATTGGTATCCATGAATTGACGTTGCATGTCGCACCTTTATTATTTTCGAAAAAATCCGGACCTATTACACCTCCAGATTAAAAGTAGTGCCAATGACACTCTAGATTTGTGAGTGATTTAATTGCGATTTAAATATCCATGAAAATATTGACATGAAGAATATTGTTGTATCATACTTTACCCTCTATCAACACCATGAGTGAATATAACTTCAGGATATAACACCTATTAAGTGTATTCCAATACTTTTCATATTTTTCGGAAGGTGGCAGGTTCACTTTCTTAATCAGTAATTCAAATCGGGTTTCCTTTTACATTTGCAACTTCAAAATTAATTGCACTAATTATCTCTTCGTTATTGCCAGAGACCTTTCATCCCATTTTTTTTTCTTTTTTAAAACACTGAAAAATCACGCTGTGATATGTTTGGAAAATATCGCGTTTGACGAATTTCTTTAATCCCTGAAAGTGCCATTAAATTTTTCGTTCTTTTTTTTTTTTGCTTGCAGTTTAACTTTTTCCTGGTTTCCCAATTGAAATTGTGGTGAGCAGATTTCTGCACACTGTTCAGAAATTACCGTCTGTCCAATATTAAGTGAAATAACCCCTAAAACTTTCCGTCTGGTGAAATTAATTCACATCATTGTATTCTTCCAATTGCCCGTCTTTAACAGGTGGATTAGTACCTTCTGAAGTCTGGATTATCTTTCTGGGTCGTACTTGTTGTTTTAAATTTCATCACATTTTATAATATTATTGAAGATACTGGATCTTTTGGTTTAAAATTTTTGAAGAAATTATTGAGCAAAACACACATGCTGTGCTTTATGTGTATAAAAACCGTCTGTCTATGTTTATGTATGTCCTCCCAAATACGGTTTTAGGGATGTTATTAAAGTTGAAATCGCATATATGTGTATGTAAAATTGAAATGAATCTGAATTGGCCTTTATCATATAAAGGCCTCAACAGTTAATCACACTTTTCAATAATTCATCCTCCCCCTTGGTGAGGAGCGAGGCTTATCTAACACCTCTGCTGATATTTGGGTCACAACACCCAGTTGGAAAATGCAACTCCACATCGAATGATTGCAAATGAATATAATCATTCTACCTGCGTATATTTGGGTTTTAGTTTCGTTGCTATGTGCCAAATATTTTTATAATAAAATTTTTTACTTTTTTTTTATTAACAAAAAATAAAATTTTTCCAATTAGTTTCTATTTTACTGAGCTATTTAAAATTTTTTAGTATTTGTAAATAGATTAACCTCTTGATTATCGTATTCTCACCGATATGCATACCAATTAAAAATTATAAAATAATTAGCAATTAAAACCTTTTAATTTTCCTTAATTGGCAAATTCTGTGCGATATTCGTCAGAATATCGGAATTTTTGATTTATTTGTCAATCATAATATTTTTAGAAATATAAAATGTGGGTTGTATGGCATATAAAGCGTACTTGATTTTAATTATCGAAACATTATGCACATCTGCAGCTAATTACAAATTCCGAAAATCAGTCACACAAAAAGCACATATGCAAGCTCTTGCCAATCCGAAAAGGATTCATTAAAATTGAGTGTAGGCAGACTCTGTGCAGTCAAATAAGTCGTTTCATCAATATTCCATATATCGCAAACAGTGCTTTTTGTATTGATTTTTCGCACTAATTATCAACGAATCAGCAGGCAAGCGGAGCAGTCCTTGCTGCACTCGATAATGTGCATCAGATAAATGCATTATGCCGAGTTGCTTGCCTGCATGCCTGCCTACTTGCATGCCTACTTGCGTTAGTTAAGAACATAAAGAGCAGTTCGAGTTTCCAGCATTAGGCATTCAAGAGCTTTAGGTTCTGGTTGGCTGTTTAATTGCCATGCCATTTGGGAACATTGATGCGTCTTCATGCTCGAAATGACTGCAACTAAGCACAAGCATACGTTTCCAACAATGAGCGGGGATGCTACCAAATTAGTAAATTTACAGCCTTACTAATGGCAATTGGTGATGGGAAATATGAGTTATTGCAGCACTGAAAACTCACGCCGACTTGTGCCACTGAAGTCTTCAGTTCTGCTCACAACACCAGCTTTATTGGTTTGAATAGTGAAAAAAGAATTCCTTCGCAAGGCTTGCTCCTTTAAATTACTTTAAAGTTTTTTGAAATGTGTATTTTTATTTAAACAACACTAATTGTAATTTATAATAAGAAAAGTATTCTTATTAAGTTAAATTGAATTCTTAGAATAATCAGTTTTTAAATTTACATTCCTACAATAAGTAGTTACAGGACGAAGTCAAGTATGTCTGTTTTTATGGAGTACATTAAAAACATCACCCCAAGTTTATAGATTATCTGCCATATCAACTGAAGTTTATATGTTATCTGCCATATATGTTATATGCTATATCAGCGATAGGAATAGTAAACAATTTAATTTAATCACAAACAGAAATATTCATTGGTGGTGGAGTTCAGCTATTGGAAGTCATCACCAGCTAAAATTGCACTCCCCCTTGTTGTAGAAGTTGCGCGAACTATGGGATTTCATGGAATGAGCTATCATGTAATCATCTGTGCTGAACACGTAGTTCTATTCACTATAGAACGTGTAGTTCTACCAATATCAATTTTGGTATTAACCCAAACAAATCAGAGGTGTTAGCTTCTAACTCCAAGTACAGATGATCAGCTTTCAAACTTTTTATATTAAATGGCAAAAATTAAAAGTAGTAAACATTACCACTAAAATATATTTCTAAAAGCTATAAAACCCAAAAAAATAAAATACCATTATCCGCAAATTAAAAGCACAACTTTCGGAAAAATAGTGATCAAGTTAGAGAAATCCAAAATATTTCTGTATGGAAAAGGTTAATAATAGTTCAATATAGAAATTTGTAAAATATAACAAGTAAGGGTCATGTTAGGTAGGGCCATGTTATGCAGAGTGTCTCGGGCACGGCATGAGTAAGATTGTTGTTGTTTTTAATGCAAATTATAGTATAGAGAGTGAGAGAAAAACAATATATTGCTTCAAATTTTGCCATGAAAACTGAGCCGTTTGAGACTCGGCACTTAGGGAAAGCAGTGTTGTCCAGTAATAAATGTTAGAATTTGCGCCTTTTAGAAGCAAATTACTACAATTTTAATACATTTTAAAGGAAAAATGTCAGGAAGTAACACAGCCTATTTTATATACTCTTAATAATCTAATTATTAGACTTTCTGGTTTTAAGGAAAGGCGTATGATTTTGTAATTACTGTTAACAATTATTATATGATAATATAATAGTCAATTTACAATATTTTTTACAACCTCTATGATTTTTTTCTTACTGGTTATTTTTGGTGGAAAATTGAAAGTGAGCATATCCATATTTCCTTTTAAATTTAGGCACAACCACAAAGTACCAAAAAGTACCAAAAAGTAGTAAAAGCACAAAACTGGCAATACTGGTGTGACACTCCACATAATATTCACTTTCAGCGTAGACCAAAAGAACCACTTTTGATGTGCTCGTAATACTACATAACATGGTCCTAATAATTTCAAAAAAAATATATTATAGGTGTGGATAATAAGAATTATATATGGACACATATTCCTTGAAAAATTGTGTCAAATTTAAAAACTGTGACGTGTTCGACAATTGAATGTCAAAATACAAAATTTTACATTTTCTCATAATTCATTCTGCAGTCGTTTCGTTCTGACTTAAGGTATGTCTATATTATACAATTTTTACAAGTAATTATAAAATATAAAATAAATTCTTTATTCTTTATTAGAAAAAATTATTACTGATAATTTCTCAGTCATTTCATTAGTTCTAGGAAGTTATTGCTCTCTCATAAGGAGTTCTTTTGCTCACATTCTTTGCGACTTTAGTAACCATATAGCATCACACTAATTTTGAGTTAAGAACTTACTTAATGGTCGAGTACTCATCTGTTGGATATATTTTAAGTACAGTTTGTTTAAATTATTTTCGAAACAATAAAACAACGAAAAATAGGATAAATATGTATTACATACACATATATAGATATGCAATCACTATCGTAGAATACAATACACTTACTAGAATATGAAAACTAATTAAAAGTGTAATATTTACAAATTTTAGGCGATTTCCTTTAAAGATGGATATAGATAATCAACAAATCCAAACTAATATTGTGTCTATCATTCAACGTGGTCATGAGATTAATTCACGTGCAACAAATGTGAGTGCATCAGAAGAAATAATTCCAAAAGCACCTGATAATGGAACTGCAGTGTTGACTTCTACAGTCATAGTTCCACAAAATAACCAAATCCAATTCTCGACTGAGAAAGATTGTGTCATTTTAGATGCTGGTGCTGTTAATTCAGACAGAGCCACTGAACATGCACTGGAAGAATTAACTCCAGAAGTGCTTAGTGATCAAACTGAAGTGTTAAATTTTGAAATCCCGATCCAAAAACATGACCAAAACCAATACTCAACTGAGAAGGATTGTGTCCTTTTAGATGCTGGAGAAGTCGATTTACACGGAGCCACTGAACATGCACTGAAAGAAATAGCTCCAGAAGTACTTGGTGATCAAACTGAAGTGTTAAATTTTGAAATCCCGATCCAAAAACATGACCAAAACCAATACTCAACTGAGAAGGATTGTGTCCTTTTAGATGCTGGAGAAGTCGATTTACACGGAGCCACTGAACATGCACTGAAAGAAATAGCTCCAGAAGTACTTGGTGATCAAACTGAAGTGTTGAATTTTGAAATCCCGATCCAAAAACATGACCAAAACCAATACTACACTGAGAAGGATTGTGTCATTTTAGATGCTGGAGAAGTCGATTTATACGGAGCCACTGAACATGCACTGAAAGAAATATCTCCAGAAGTACTTGGTGATCAAACTGAAGTGTTAAATTTTGAAATCCCGATCCAAAAACATGACCAAAACCAATACTCAACTGAGAAGGATTGTGTCATTTTAGATGCTGGAGAAGTTGATCTACACGGATCCACTGAACATGCACTGAAAGTGTGGAGTGAGAGGGATAATTCCATTCTACAATCTGGTGAAGCCCAGACCCAAATTAATAACGAAAAGCCATACGCCACTGTTGAAGTCAATGCCTTTCCACAAGTTAGTGCGAATAATCCATTTGCAGCATGTGAGATTGCATGGCAAAAAATAGTTCAAGAAGCACTTTCTGATGAAAATGAAGTACCGGACAATGAAAATGAACTATACGGGAACATTGAAGTCTGTACAATTCCTCAAGCTGTTGAAGTTAATCTACATTCTGCAAACATGTGTGTAAAGGAAGATATGGTCCAAGAAGCATCTGTAAATCACAATGAAATCTTAACTACTGCAGATCAACCCAAAAGTGAAGACCAAAAGCAATATTGGACTGGAAAAGACAATGCCATTGCACAGGTTAGTGCGATTAAACCACTTGCAGTCCGTAAGGATTTATGGCCAGCAATAGCTCAAGAAGCAGTTGTTGAAGACGAAAATGAAGAATTGACCACCACATCCAAAGTTCAAAATAATATTTCAAACCAAAACGGACTAATTACAAGAAACGCTATTCCACAGGCCGGTACATCAGACACATTTATTGCAGACAGTCATGCAAGGGAGGAAACATCCATTTATCATAATATGCAAAGCAGCGTTGGTACATTTATTATTCCTGAACCTCGTCCACGAATTTGGACTCGTAGGGATACTCCAGTTAAGATTTGCAATAATCGTACAGCAAAAAAACCTAGAAAGAATTAAAAAAATATTTTTATTATGGTAAGACTGTAAATATTATGTTGAGAAAAAACCCAACAATTTGTTTAAGTTGATATTTCTTATCATCTAATGTAGTTTATGTGCGGCAAGCCCTACAACTCTCGACTTTAGTGGGATCTTTTGCGAACATCTTAATTCCTAAAGCATCGATCGATGTATATATGATATTCTAAGTACAACTTGGATGTAACATTCTGAAACACCAGATCACATTAATAAGATGCAAAATAATACACAACTATATTGATAGGGAAGGCCGAACATTTTTTATATTAATTTTAATTTTTATTATTTGCGTTTCAATTGGATTGATTATTAAATTTATGTTAAAGAAATTTAACAGTCAGATAAGAAATATCTTAATTAAGCTACTCTTGTTACATCATTTCAGAATTCAAATAAAATTAATTTTTGTAGAAAGTGTTTTATTTTTCTGGATATATAAATGCATCTTTATATTATAACGTCCACAATTTTCATATATTTATTTATTTATATATCTGTCTATGTCTGTCTCTTTCTTATGAATAAGAATAAAATTTGCGATACTGTGTTGTGAGGGGCTATAACGTATTGGAAGTCGTGACACATAATACACATAAAAATTTCCGAGAATCTTAAGTCTATAACTAGCGTTTGCGTTGGATTGATTGATTTTATATTGTAAATTTTTTTAAGATCTATCCATTATTCGTAAGACAATGGCATTGCATTAATGTTTTTCAAATTTGTTATTAAGTTTTTTCAAAGTTCTTCTATTATTAATAAAGATATTTTAAACAATTATCCAAAAAGGATATTATAGGAAAACAAAAATAGATACTATATAGATAATACAGCATAAGCAACCACCAGAATCCGAATTGTACTCCAGCCGATAAATTGATCGTCAACTGGTATAATATATCAACTTAAAAAAATATAAGATTGGGATAATCTAACTCATCTCTTCATTGACAATATATTCAAGTGTACTCTCCCCTAAAAAAAGAACGATCCCGGCTGCACCACTGAGACTGTTGGTATATCCTTGACTTCTGGGTGATTGGTTTAGGGGACATATTCCTCTATTACCAATATAATCTACATAAATTTACAAAAAGCTGTGAAAAAAATTGATTTTCTAGTATATCCTCTACTTGGAACTGTACTGGCTTTGCTACTGAGACTATAAGTTCATCATTACTTTCTGATTGCAATGTTTTTACAAATCATTCCGTGAGAGCAGTTTTAATGGGTTATAGTTTAACGCTATGATTTGATGCTTTTTGTCTACCGAGAAAAACTATATTAGATACTATATTACGACCATAAGTAGACCTATAATAAAGAACAGCTTTTTGGAAGTACAAAACAACTCGATATCGAAAGAATATGATTAAGTATTTTGCATTGAACCACTTGTAGTCATAATGAAAAAATAAATGTAGGGCTAAACTTACAGTGCTTTAAAAAATAAAATTATCAGTTATGAAACTTTGTCTTATGTATAATCTAATATATTATATCTCATACATAATAAAAATTAATACAAAATTTTCAATTTTTAATTTGAACACATTTACTTAGTAAGAGAAACAACTACAGATTTAAGTTTTGGAGTTTTAAGTTACAATAAATTATGCTTAGAATTATTGAAATATAGAAAAAATATTTTATAATAGTAGTATTTATAAAATATCTGTAATAGTATTGTTCCTTCCAAAGTATCACAGAAAGTTAAGCTCTGGTGGTATAAATATTGATGTATTTAATAATCGGACGCTTTGGCTCGCTTTGGCTCCAATGATGTTCCTAATTTTAGTTATTAGCGTAGGTTATCTCAAGTGAATACATTAAATAGATTTAGGATATGTTAAGGAAAAAGCAGCGTATTACTGAAAAAGATATACCATATTAATGATTAATGATGAGTACATATGGAGAAGATATTCACTCAAATACAAAAGAAAAAATTTCTTACCACACCTTTTGGTTATTCCGTTTTTAAATATTTTTAACGATGATCTTCTGAAATGTAATTTGAATACCTAGAATATATACCCGCATTCTCTAACTCCTCATCTGTGGCAGATCCGTTGCATAGAGGGCTTGGAACAAGTAAAACAGCTGGAACACGTGCCACATCAGGTTCAACAACTAATGGAGGCGGCTCAATAACAATTTCATCCAAGCCTTGAACGTTGTTCGGTTCTAAGTCACCATTTACTACTATTTCTTGTTCAGGTGCTTGTTCACGCTGTTCTTGCGGATCAACAATTTGAATCTCTAAGTATTCATACACATCACCATTAACCCCGTTAACGGCATGATCGTCATTATTGGGAATATTTTGATTGAGGTTTTCATTATTAGGATCCATTACTACGAGGAAAAACTGCTTATCTTGTAGGTGTAAGAACAATTTTTTTATTTGATTTCTTATATTGCACTATGTGACAGTTCTGAAAATTTTAGGGCAATGCCAGCTTAAACAAAATTAAAATTATGAATTATTATATATCGGAATTTTGCTTCACATATTGTCTGTCTTCACAGTTCAATTTTCAGTTTTTGTCCATTTTTCTAGTTCAATTTTGAACTTTGTCTAATTAAAAATAAATCGATTTTAGTTGAGAAATTACAAATTGAATTTAATTTCTCAATTAATTTGTTTCCCGAATTGTTTATTTTCTTTATTTGAAACGTATATATTTTCCCTCGCAGCTTTATTTTCTCTTCATATGTGTGCAAGTTGGAATCATAATTGCCATATTGAAATTTTATGAAACACCATTTACCATGCCAAGTGACTTAAAAAACTAGTACGCGATTCTATCAAATACCTTTGTGTGGATTTTGTATGGTAAGCGTATCTGACGCTATACTCTGACGCTTATTGAGATAACTCCGAAGATGAGTTAAGCACAATGGAGTACCTAAACATACTCTCCTGTTGTGAATTCACATACCCACTGTTGTTGGACGGGCTATGGCGTCAATTAAATAGTTGTACTCACCTCGCTAAGATATTGGCGAATTAAACCAAGTAGTGATTTGCTCGTTGTCTAGTCATGGTGAATGTTATTCCTGATGCACCTAAGCATCATAGTTATTTTTTAGGAAAAGCAACAAAAGCAATAACAATTTTCCTAACATAATAGTAGTTATGGGTACCCAGATAGTAGTTTATAGAACGTCGGCACTTTTGGCTATGGGGTTTTTACCATACAAGTTTTGTATATTCAAAACTCATATATTACTATTAATTACATATTCTTGTAAAATATATCTGAACAATGTTCATAACTCTGCAATACTGTAGTTCACAAATTTAAACTATATGTAAGTAAGTTTTGGATAAAATTATTATAATTCTAGTTATGTTGAGGCTAGTTGAGTCAGTGCACCTGAGCACTTTTACTCTCTATTAACTGCGAGATTTCTTCAAAACCTCTCTTTGCGCCTTGACTAGATTATTGTTTATTATTTCATCAGACCTCCCCGAGGAGCCTGTAACCATTCCTTTATTATATAACAGCTTGATTTTTCTACTGGAAATGTATAAATTTATACATAATTGTGATATGTAAATGATAATGTATGTATATTGCAACAACAAAAAATTTTTATTTTTAATTAATTGAATTTTTAGCTGACCATACAGCTGCTTCGAGTATTTCCAAATAACTGTCATCAAAGGTCTTGAACATATTTCTTATATTTTATTATTCTTAAGTAATTGTTTGAGACTGACTAAGTAACGTATTATCTTAAACGTGTTATGTCTAAGAACGTAATACGAAGAAAGTCAGATACACTTATGTTTCTCCACGATTCGCTCAAGTGAAACTAGAAAGTTAAATGTTTATTTCAATGCATATATAATTAATTTTTAAATTTATTTACTGTGGTCACTATATTAATAAATAGTAGCTAAGTTTTCATTTGTTTTTAAGAAAATTGCATACCAGAAATAGTCTTCTAGAAATAGTTCCTCCATTAACCATTAAATATATTTTTACAGCACTATATATTATACAACTCTTCATTGAAAAGTTATATATTTACTTGTAATAATTGATTTTGAAGTTATCGATTTTAATAGAAAATATTGCGTTACTTGAGATATCGAAGGTATATATCTCAAAAAAATTATGTATTGAGTGTATTTTTAAAAATTATATATGAAATTGTTGTGATGACAATAAAGTGCGATTACTGTATGTTTTAATATATTTCAATGAACAATAAAATTGACTTTTTAGGACCTTCTTTATGACTTTCCAAAATCCACTTTCTAAATCCAGTTAAAAATTTAGTTATCAATTTAGACATATTTTGTATGAATTTCGAAATAATATTTTTATGAGTGTATTTATATTTCCAGTTGAAACCATTTCGAGTTTTGATGAGAAACCAGACATATTATCACCACAAACTTTTAGACACTATTTGTAATCTACTGGGAAAGTACACAATTTAAGTTTAGTGAAGAGTTTTTAAATCTCTCTCTCTCATAGCGTTGTTGATTTCAGACGATTTCACCCTTGGTTAATAATTTTTGTGAGCTTAAAGTCATGGCTATTCTCCAGTTATGTGTAAGCTTTGTTCAATGTGCTTGAAAATCATAAGATTTTATCTCACTCTTAATATTTTCATATTAGTTCCCTGCTATTAAAACGTTGAAGGAACTGTAGAAAGAGTTAGTTCGCCATGCTTGATTTTCCGGGTTCATTGCTATACTGATAGAAAAATTTTCATCGATAAGTCAGCACTACGGCCTAGAGAAAATTAAAAGAATTATTTATTGATTAAATAATGATTATATATATGATTAAAATATAGGGACGATTATGAACTATAATATTGTTTTCTCATAATAAACTTTGACTAAGGTTCTGAAAAAATTAAATGTCTTTTGCAATGGTAAAATTTGTTACCATAAAACTCACAAAAAGTTGGAAAGACTGAAAATAAATCTATAAAGCTTTGATTAGATAATAATAAGGTTTTATGAAGCCGAAATGTGAACCATTAAAAAGACACAAGCAGAAGGTAGAGGCATTGCATTGTGGGTATATTAAAAAGAGTTGAGATATTTGTAAACTAATAACTAACGTTTATCTCTAGGTATAGTCTTTGAGATGATCTGGATTCTTTAAAGAAATGATTGTGAATGACAAAGTGAAATGGGCGTAGTAAATTAGAAAAACGATGGATGGATGAATGGATGGCACAACGTCGAACAAAATAGCGCTCTGCAATGAATATTTTGTCCTGCTATCCGTTGTCCAAAAAAAAAGAAATATACGACTGTAAGA